GAGAGAGAGAAGGGGGGGGCAGGAGCGGCATGCAACCTGGATGCATCCATCGAGTGCGAAAGCGGGAGGATGGCAGAAGGGAGAGAGTCAGGACTCCGAAGGGGTTGCGAGAGTGGGCCTGACGGTGGCAGGGGTAGCTATAAAATACAATTTCAGGGGTGTCGGTTTAATACCACGCATACCGCGCAAATATTTCATCTATTATCTACATTTCGTAGATACGTAGGCATTCACCGGGTGGCTCGACGGGGCTGTAACACGACAGTGTGCGTGGAGGTAAATGGCCAAGGGTGGTGTGTGTGTGTCTGTGTGTGTGTGTGTGTGTGTGTGTAGCGAAGCTGCGAATATTCCTATGGTACTAGACTCCGTCCCGCACGTTTACTTCCTCGTTGCTCAGGTTACTACGTTCGCAACGTCGAAGCATCCGTTTCGTGCGTGTACACGCTCGCGTAAATCAGTGCATTTTAATTCACAGGTCGAAACAAGATCTCACACAAATCTGACACTGGGAGAGATAATTATACGAAGAAGCGGAAACGTAAAAAAAATCCCATAAATAGGTAAATGTAACGCAAACGTTGAAAGCATGGATCGATACTAATTATGTATTAGCAGACTAATTACCGTCGCGCAAACAGAAAAAAGTTTCATAAATGTCAAAAGGATTAAAAACCTCACGATAATATCATTTTATGCGAGAGAGAGGTACATTTTTAAATATTATATTGTCACACGTGACAAATATACTGTTAGTTTAAAATGATTTTCTCTTTTTTTGCTTTATCGCAATTTTAAAACGATTTACATTTATTCTTGCCAAATATTCCAAGCATGATGTATTAAAATATATCACATGCATGTGATATATTTGTGACGTACATACATACAGTGTGAATACTCGAAACTCATTTATCGAGTGGAAATTATTACTTTATAAAGTTCGAAGTAATGGGTGTAACGTTGAACAATTTGTTCCACGCAGATTGGATGCAAGCAATTTAAAGAACGCAGTTATAATAAAAATTAGTAATTATGATATAGAATTTATTCGGGTTTACGAAAATCATGTACGAATAAACGATACGTTCCGCCTCGAAAATACTCGATGACACGTTGACGCTTTTCATCATGCTTTTCCAATCCATCTGTGCTGGTCGTAATCATCGTTAATTACGTCACACGCATTATTGATCAAGGTTTAAAAACGCATTATTCCCGAAATCGATTTGGCAGAGGCATTACTGACATTATTATTAATGATGCCGGCGAAATCAATTTCACGGTGCGCATTGTGCGCCGATAAATGAAAAGACCTTTGCTCTCTCTTTCTCTCTCTGCAATTGCATTGTCATAAGAACATTATCAAACTATCTTCTATCTGAGAATTAAAAAGTTTTGCATATTAAGACACGTATGGCGCAATACGCCTTATGTCGTCGCGAAGAAATTTCATTTCCTCACTTTATCC